ATTGTGCAGGCACCAAGTATGTCGACAACTATGTGCGGCGCGTAATGCGTCCTCGACCTTGCCAGATCATCACTGTTTCGTACTGCAACGATGTCCCGGTTAGGGTCGAGATCATCAACAGCCATGGTGACAGAGAACTCGTGCTAGGTATTGACGACAGCCAGGTCATTTCACTGCTGGTGTTTGCCTCGAATGGATTCGAGCAGAGCGAGCTCTGTCTTCGGTTCCGGCACCATCCGTCTATAGCAATGGCGCCTATTCATGAGATTCTAGACGAGCGTGATGAGCTCATTCGCAAGTTCTACGTTCAGATGTGGAGTGCTGCAGGCGATTCCTCGCTGTCCGACTTGACCTTTGCGCAGAAAGGACTCACTGTGACGCAGGAGCATGTCTCGGAGTTCTGCCGCGTCATTGACAACCACTCACAGCACTACAAGGAAGACCATGGTGCCAGCTAATCGCGCCAATGGATTTTTTGTTTGTCCTTGCGTGGCCCAGCATTCTGCGCAGCCTGACATCCGACAACATCCATTGCGGGCTGCTCAAAATTGTCCACCTCTCGAACAGCTTCAACTTCGTCGATGGTTCCGACCAAATTGCCGTCAGCGACACAGTTGATGCTGATGCCAAACCATCGAGTAGTCAATACTGCGATTGGTAAGCGGGTCACCGTAGAGGCATCTATTTACCGCAACTCTGCTCGTATTGCCACTATCAACAGCGTGTTCCTGTACCGTGGGTCGAGATTGACTTTGGGCTCACCTTCACCCGTCGTGACAATAACGTCGTGCAAGTGAGATTTGACACTATGGACGATATCGCTGTTTTGGAGTCGAAGGAGTGGATCTCGTGGCTAGAGTCCGACGGTCGCTGCCCCTTGTGCCCAGGCGACACGCTAGAGTTCTGCACCGATTCGCTCTATCAGTACATGACGCAAGGATATCTTCTCTAGCGTCAGCGTCAGTGGAAAGGTATACTGTGTGTCTACAGGTCTCAGTCGAAGGCGCATGTGGCTGATATCATGTATGAAAGCGGCGTGGCCCATGGCGATCCAGTTGCAAGCTATCTAGACCGCTCGCAGCGCAAACTCGACGTGCGTGAGAACCTGTTCCCGACAACGGATATGCAATTGTGCCCAAGAACCGTGACGATGGCATGTTTGTGCAGGCGCTCTCGTCAAACTGGGCGTACTCGTATATCTCGGGCGACTATAACCCAATCCACACGAATCCGTACATCTCCGATCTAGTCGGTCTACCTGGAACCATCACCCACGGCATGTGGACCAGTGCGTCAACCCGCTCGCTTATTGAGCGCTATGTTGCTAACGGACAATCCAGAGCGAGTCAGGGCATTCAAGGCACAGTTTGTCGGCATGGTCTTGCCTGGGGATAAGCTCGAAACCAAACTGCGACATGTCGGCATGAAGCACGGCCGCATGCTGATTGCAGGCGAGACATTCAATGCGGATGGAAAGAAGGTGCTTATCTGCACCGCAGAGGTCGACCAGGCGCCAACTGCATACGTTTTCACCGGGCAAGGGTCCCAGCAGACCGGCATGGGCATGGACCTATATAAATCGTCAGCGGCGGCACAGGGTGTCTGGGACCGTGCCGACAAGTACATGCTTAAGCAATACGGCGTGTCATTGCTTGACATCGTCCGCTCGAACCCAAAAGAGTACACTGTCCACTTTGGCGGAGCAAAAGGGGGCTCAGATCCGCCAGAACTACATCGACCTGTTTAAGCGCGGTGCCAGCTCGAGCACAGCATCAGCTCTACCCAGTATCACATCCAGGACCCGCCGCTATACCCACCGGTCGCCTATGGGCTGCTTCATGCTACGCAGTTTACGCAACCGGCAATTATAATCTTTGAGCTGGCAACAGTCGCCGATCTTCGCTCTCGTGCACTCATCCACGAGGATGCTGTGTTTGCTGGCCATTCTCTTGGCGAGTACATCGCGCTTGCAGCAACCTCAAACGTGTTTACTATCGAGGACACGGTTGATATTACCTTCTACCGCGGCATGGTTATGCAGTCATCAGTCGAGCGCGACGAGTTTGGGCGTTCCCCCTACGGCATGGTTGCAGCCAACCCATCGCGTGTCCATCGCAGTTTGGCGAAAAGGCCCTCAGTGCAGTTGTCGACCTTATTGGCACCCAGACATCTGAGCTGCTGGAGATTGTCAACTACAACATCCAGTCGCAGCAATACGTGGTGGCCGGACGGCTGACTAACCTTAACGTCCTGCAGCGCGTTCTGGACACACTCTTTGCCATCTACTCTCGTGACAGCACGCTGGTGGATTTGTCTGCTGTGAGCGAGGTTGTCAGTGGTATACTCTCGGACGGACCTGATATGGCCCCGCCACAGCGCGGTCGGGCTACCATTCCACTGGCAGGAATTGACGTGCCATTCCACTCGAGCCTGCTGCTTAACGGCGTCGAGCCCTTCCGCCTGTGCGTCAAAAAGGCTGTCTTCGAGTCCAAGCTTGACTACCGCCGCCTGATCAACCGATACATCCCCAACCTGACATCGGTGCGTTTGACTTGACCAGAGAGTACTTTGAGATGGTCTACCAAATCACAAACTCCATGGCCATCAACCACGAGCTGCAGGAATGGGGATCAGTTCAATCGTCTGAGGATGAGCGGGACCGTCTGGCTCGAGTCCTGCTGACTGAGCTGTTGGCGTACCAATTCGCATCGCCTGTGCGCTGGATCGAGACACAGAATCAAATCCTCTGCAACTTCTCCATCAGGCGCCTTATCGAAATTGGCCCAACAGCGACGTTATGCGGTATGGCACAGAAGACCTTGAGCTTGGTTGGTTCGGCCCATCCGCAGTCGATTGCCATTCTGCATTCTGAGAAGGATGAGCAGGACATCGGATATCTGTTTTCCGCAGAGACGGACATGGACTCCACATCTGACGACGCTGCTTTACAGCCTGAGCCAACTGCTACTGCTGTAGCACCATTGGCTGCTCCACCCACGCCAGCTCTACCTGAGGCTCCAGCAACACCGGTTGAGGCAGTGCAAGACGCACCAATTGATCCTCGGGATGTTGTGCAGGTTCTAGTCGCCCAGAAGCTAAAGCGGTCACTAGAGGATATAGAGGCTAACAGGACAATCAAAGACCTGACTGCTGGAAAATCTACTCTTCAGAACGAGATCGTTGGTGACTTGCAAAAAGAGCTAGGTAGTGGGGTGCCCGAAAAGCCTGAGGATTTGTCGCTGCACGATCTTGGCAACAGCATATCGTCCTTCTCAGGGACCCTGGGCAAGCACTCATCTTCTCAGATTGCTCGCCTGTTCAGCACCAAGATGCCTGGTGGATTCACCGTTTCTTCTGCCCGCAATCACCTGCACTCTCGCTTTGGGCTAGGAAGCGGGCGACAGGACTCTGTGCTGCTCTTAGCACTTGCCATGGAGCCAGCATCCCGTGTTGACAATGGGTCTGCGGCCACAATCTGGCTTGACTCCATTGCACAGCTGCATGCTAAGAGGGCCGGCATCTCACTAAGCACGGCCGTGGCCAATGGGCAAGGATCGCATGGACCAGGAGCGGTGGTCCCTGGTATCAACAGCGCTGAATTTGAAAAGATGCAAAAGGAGCAGCGCGCGCTTATCATCCACCAGATACAAGCACTGGCACATCATGCCGGTATCGACCTTCGTGAAGGTAGCAAGGCTCGAGACGCTGCAGTATCTGCATCAGAGAAATATCAGCAGCGTCTTGACGGATTGGTTCATGAGCTGGGGGATGACTTTTTAGATGGCGTCGCTGGCATTTTCGAGGCACGCAAGGCCCGAGTGTTCGACTCGTCGTGGAATTGGGCTCGGCAGGCGCTGTATGAGCACATTCATAGTATCCTCACTGGTGCTGAAGGAAAGCAACCGCCAGAGCTCAGCCTAGCGCGCCAGCATTATCTGGTCAACTGTGCTAGCCGGCCACTGCTCGGCCATATCTCTGGAATCTCCGCCGTTCTCCAAGGGTCTGAGGATAGACGTGTCCAGTATGTCATTGAGCTATGTGCTTCATTGACGAAGGAATGCGAACGTGCGCTGCACCAGGACCCAGTATACAGAGAGTTCTCCTTCCCCACCTGCCCCCAGACACATATCGACGCCAAAGGAAGTGCTTCTTACCGCGAGGCACTACGGAGTACGGAACCATCGTTTTCCGAGTATATCGAGCACATGAAGGCAGAGGAAAATGGCCAGTCACCGATGCTCCATCTCAAGGCTGTGCAGTCTTCTGGTAGATGGGAGTATTGCCAGCAGCAAACTGCTGAGTACTTTGCCTGCCTGGAGGACATCAACACGGGTGGGCTGTCATTCAGCGGTAAGACTGCACTTGTTACTGGCTGTGGGAAGGGATCAATCGGTGCCCAGGTTTTACGCAGAATGCTTGCCGGTGGAGCCCAGGTCATTGCAACTACCTCGTCGTATAGTCGCAGGACACTGCAATTCTTTGAGGATATGTATCGCGAATGCGGTGCCAAGGGGTCGCAGCTTGTCGTCGTGCCGTTCAACCAGGGGTCAGTTGATGATGTCACCGCTCTTGTCGGGTACATCTATAGCAAAAAGGGGCTGGGCTGGGATCTCGACTATGTTGTTCCGTTTGCAGCAATTTCAGAAGTAGGCAGCGACATCTCGCAGATAACCTCGCGGTCAGAGCTGGCTCACCGGATTATGCTCACTAACCTGGTCCGTCTGCTTGGCGAGATCAGGCAGACTAAGGCACTATTGCATCTGGAAACCCGACCGACACTTGCTGTGTTGCCGCTTTCACCAAACCATGGTGTGTTTGGCGGCGACGGCCTCTATGGTGAGAGCAAAATCGCGCTAGAGACATTGGCCAATCGCTGGCGCTCTGAGTCGTGGGCAGACTACCTGTCAATCGCAGGGGCGGTAATCGGGTGGACACGAGGCACAGGGCTTATGGACGGCAACAACCTGGTGGCAGAAAAGATAGAAGCGCATGGTGTACGAACATTCTCGACTGTGGAGATGGCATTTAATATCCTGGGTCTAATGCACGATGGCATCTGCGACTTGGCACAGACCGCGCCAGTCTGGGCGGATCTCAACGGCGGGTTTGACTGCATTGACGATCTCAAAAGTACGGTGACTATGGCGCGTTCTGAGATTACGTCCGTTGGCAACAAGCGGAAGATGGTCAGCACCGACTCTGCATTGGACTACTACACTATTCATGGACCTAGCACAGCCAGATCGCCTATCACATTACCAGCTGGCGCATTGGCCAACCATCAAGTCAGATTCCCAAAGGTCAGAACGACAACCCAGCTCGCACACCTCAAGTACATGGAGGGGATGATCAATTTAGACAAAGTTGTGGTTGTCACCGGATTTGGCGAGGTTGGTCCATATGGCAGCTCAGCCTGCCGCTGGGAGATGGAGGCGTACGGAGAATTTTCGCTCGAGGGCTGCATCGAGCTGGCATGGGTCATGGGCTATACTAAGCACTTTAATGGGTCCATGATGGCCACAGGCAAGCACTACACCGGATGGGTCGACTGTGCTACGGGAGAGCCGGTCCGCAATATGGATATTAAGGCAAAATACGAGAAGCGCATTCTAGAGCACACAGGAATCCGCTTTATTGAGCCCGAGCTGCACAACGGATACGACCCCAACAGAAAGACCATCATGTGCGAGCTTCAGATAGAGCACGATATGGAGCCATTCGAGGCGAGCAGTGAGGCTGCTAGGCAGTTCAAGCTAAAGAATGGAGACAGGGTCGACATCTGGGAGAACGCAGAGGGAGCCTGGATGGTGAAGTTCCTGAAGGGTGCTGTGATAGTTGTCCCAAAGGCCATGAGATTCGACCGGCTGGTTGCTGCTCAGATTCCGAGTGGTTGGGACCCGGTGCGCTATGGAATTCAAGAGGATCTGGTCAGACAGATCGACCCCATCACCTGCTATGCGCTAGTTGCCACTGTGGAAGCCTTGCTGAGAGCCGGTGTCACTGATCCGTATGAGCTATACCAATACTTCCATGTGTCAGAGGTTGGCAGCACAGTTGGCTCAGGGCTCGGTGGCTGTTATTCGATACAAAATGTCTTCCACAACCGCTCGCTCGACAAGGACATGAACAGCGACGTCCTTCAAGAGACATTTATTAACGTCGCTGCTGCCTGGGTCAACATGCTTTTGCTATCGTCTGCCGGACCAGTTAAGCCCGTCGTTGGTGCATGTGCTACCTCTGTGCTGTCAATTGATGTGGCCGTTGAAACCATCCAGTCGGGCAAGGCCAGGGTCATGCTGGCTGGCGGCATTGACGACTTTGCCGAGGATCCGAGCTATGAGTTTGCCATGATGGGCGCAACATCGAATGCAGTTGATGAAATAGCTAATGGCCGTGCCCCTGGGGAGATGTCGCGCCCATGCACTACGACCAGAAGCGGGTTTATGGAAGGCGAGGGTGCAGGTATAGCGCTGCTGATGTCTGCATCAGCAGCCATTGAAGCTGGTGCCCCGATATATGGAATTATTGCTATGGCAGGCACAGCGACAGACAAGCAAGGCCGCTCGGTGCCAGCGCCAGGCAAGGGTGTGCTCGTTTCGGCTAGGGAGGGGCTGGCCACCTGCAGGTCAAGGCTCCTGGACATGGGCTATCGTCGCAGGCAACTTAAGCGCCGCAAGGTGGAGATCGACAACTGGGTCGCTGAGGAGATGGCCATCGCAGAGGAAGATGCAGACGCGATTCAAGCCGAGGCAGATGCTCAGCGCAAGGAAGCCATGGACACTTGGGGAAACAGCTTCTGGTGCCGTAACCCGCAGATATCTCCGCTGCGCGGCTCGCTAGCTGTGTGGGGACTGACTGTCGACGACATTGGTGCTGCTTCGTTCCACGGCACGTCAACCAAGGCCAATGACAAGAACGAGTCGGCACTCATCAACACGCAGCTGAAGCACCTTGGCCGTACCCCTGGACACGCAGTCCCTGCGGTATGCCAAAAGTGGCTCACCGGCCACCCTAAGGGCGCGGCGGCAGCCTGGATGTTGAATGGGGCACTACAGATTCTTGACACCGGCATTATCCCAGGCAACCGCAATGCTGACAACATCTCGTCCGAGCTTGAGGAGTATGACCTAATCTTCTACCCAAACAAGACAGTCAAGACGTCTGGAGTCAAAGCCGTTCTACTCAAGTCATTCGGCTTTGGGCAGGTCGGTGGAGAGGTCCTTGCTGTGCACCCTGATTACTTGCTTGCAGCGTTGCCTGACGCCGAACTAAGCGCATACCAGGCCAAAGTCCAGCAGCGCGCCCAGCAGGCAACACGGTACTGGCAGGACGTGCTTGTGGGGAACCACAGCTTCGTCCAAGCCAAGGATTCGCCGCCATTTTCCGGAGGACAAGAACAGCGGGTTTACCTTGATCCGCTCGCACGAACCAGCTACGATCCGGCATCGCGCAGATGGAAATTCTGACTAAAGCTCGCGGAAAACATTCCTTTTTGGAAACATGCTAATGACCGCAAAGCTCGTGTTGCCTAGGAGTAGGGTCTAGAGTGCACAAGTCTATTAGTCAGATTTGGGGGGTTACAAACTGCTGGGTGAGACATAAAAGCCCCAGGCAGCTTCGGCAACAGGTATCCAATTGTCTTCTCATTAGAAACAATAGCTGTGTCTACGCTACTTACACGATATTACACTATTCATTTCCCATGGTCCACCACATCAAGCTCAACAATGGCGTGGAGATTCCTGAGGTCGGCCTCGGGACGTGGGCTGCTCATAAAACTGGCATCGTTGCTGACACCCTCAAGACTGCAATCAACCTGGGCTACCGGCACATTGACTGCGCGACAATCTACGGCAACCAGGTGGAGATCGGTGAGGCGCTGAAGCAGCTGTCAGTTCCCCGCAAGGAGCTGTTCATCGTATCGAAGGTCTGGCAAACTTATCACCGGCCTGAGCTAGTGCCCAAGGCGCTCGACGAGATCCTGGAACAGCTCCAACTCGACTACATAGACCTCCTTTTGATCCACTGGCCTTACGCGATTAAGCCCGGGACTCCGGGCATGACCTTCACTGCGTCCGATATTGAGGATGTACCGATCATGGATACCTGGCGTGCAATGGAGGCACTGGCGGACACAGGCAAGGTCCGGGCAATTGGCGTGTCGAACTTTAACCAGGCGATTCTGGAAAAGATGATCCCGCAGTGCCGTATTGTCCCTGCCGTGAACCAGATCGAGCTCCATCCGTTCAACCAGCAGACGAAGCTAGTCAAGTTCTGCAAGCAGCACAACATCACCCCCACTGCCTACTGCCCGCTTGGTGGTTCGGATCTCAGTGTCATTGAGGATCCATTTTTCAAGCGCATGGCCGAGGCACATATGTGCACTCCGTCGCAGGCTATTCTGTCATGGAACCTGGCACGCGGCGTTGTAGTTATTCCCAAGTCGACCAACCCCCAGCGCCTGAAGCAAAATTTGCACAGGATCACCCCGACAAATGACGAAATGAGGTTGTCGGCAAAGTGTGATAAGCAGGAGCGCAGGTGCCATCCGTTGCCGGATGTAAAGGAACTCGAGTGGGTATTCCATGAAGATAAGGCCACATGCCCGCTTATCTGAGAGATCACTGAAGCTGGCTATGTGTCATGAATTCGTAGATTCTAAATACACACAGCTCAAGCTTGCGAATCACTCTGGTATGTATGTGGAAAACAGTGCTTGCTTAGGAAGTGTAGCATCCCTGAGTAAACTATGCTCCGCTACCGAGTTGGGGTAGGTCATTTGCATGGTTCTTTGCATTATCTGATCGCTTCGGTCATCCGCAATCGTCGTGCCACAATACTCGTGAAACTTTGCTGGTATTTGTCATCCAAAGAACTGAAGAATGCTGTATTCATTTCACTCCCCATGGTGAATAATTTCCGTCAAAGATAAAGGGCGTGTATGCACATGGTGCGTGACATACTTGCGTCGGACCTAGGGCGATCATTTATTGCCAGGATGAACACTTTACCCACTCAGCGCTAGTCCTCTGCGTTCACCAGCTGAAATTGGAGCTACTATCCCCAAAAGAAAAGTTCTCTCATAAATACACACTAGAGATCTCAGATCTCAGTTTGCTACCATCCTTGTTCATACTTCTCAATCGACTCCTAGTACTTACGCCGAAACATAATGCTGAATGACAAGCCGACCCAGGCTGAGCAAGCAGTACACACCGAAGCCGAGCAGCATAGTTGCGAACAGTACGTCGAATCCGATGCAGCGACTCTTGACCCACCTCCCAACGAGGGCGCGACTGACCCCGCAAAGGAATTCCCCGCGCACACACGGTATGCCGTTGTTGCCAGTTGCTTTATGATGCAAGCTCTCGCCTGCGGTACTATCCACGCGTGGGGCATTCAGCAGGAGTACCTGGCGGCACATAACTTTGCTGGCAATGAAAGCAAGATCAAGACACTGAGCTACATCGGCACGCTTATGTATTTCAGTCAGTACCTGTGGGGAATGCTCGCTGGCTGGATGGCCGACGTCTGGTCGTATCGCAAAGTGTGCTTCATCGGTGTTGTTTTTCTGGCCATAGGTCCGCTCGTAGCGTCATTCTGCAACCAGGTACGGAAATGGGCAGCGACAATCCTCCCCAAAACCGCAGCAAGCGCACACGGTATTGGGGGAGCATGCTGTGTTAATGGACACGGTACTCACGATATTCCCACACCATTCACAACCGGTATTGTGCACTTTTGTAGCCTTGGCAGTACTGCCTGACGCAGGGAATCTTGTTTGGGCTCGGTGCCGGCCTGGTATTCAACCCAACATCGACAGCCCCGGCTCGGTGGTTCACTACGCGGCGCGGACTGGCGACTGGAATCACGGTTGCTGGAGTGGGCGTGGGCGGGCTGGTGATCGCCCCGCTCACTGAGTTCCTTGTGCAAAATGTCGGAGTACCCTGGAGCCAGCGAATTGCAGCAATCTACCTGTTCGTCCTCGGCTCTATTTCCTGCTATTTCGTGCGTGTGCCATTTCAGGACAAGACACGGACGCTCAATAACTTTGACTGGTCTGCGTTCCGTGATCGTCGTTTCGCAGTCCATGCGCTCATGGTGTCTTTTGTCACTGCTGCCTATCTGGTGCCCTATACGTATCTGCCTCAGTTTTGGACATCGAAGGGGATCAGCTCCAAGACCGCGTCAGTTTTGATTGCCATTGCCAATGTTTCATCGGCGGTTGGTCGTCTTGCCATGGGATTTCTGCGGACAGCATTGGTGTTCTGAACTCGCTGGTTCTGAGCTTGGCAATCTCCACGGTTGCTGCACTCCTGATTTGGCCATTTGCTACGAGTATCGGCGCTGGACTTGTGATGGGCATCTTTTACGGATTTGCCGCCGGCGGATATTGGACACTGCTTCCTTTGGCTGCTGCAAAGCTCTTCGGTGTAGACAAGCTGGCAAGCTACACTGGAATTTTCTATAGCCTGTCAGCGGTCAGCGCTTGGCTAGGAAATCCGGTCGCCGGAGCAATTTTGGCAAATCCTGGGCACGGCACCAACTACATTGGGATGATTGTTTACATTGGTGTTCTGTGGGCGGTAGCGCTTGTCTTTGCGACAATCAACCGGCGCTCATACTCCCACAGGATCTTTGTCAAGGAATAGATACTAATAGCTATGTTTACTTTTAATAATTTACTGGTTTATCATGATTAAAGACGCCATCCATTAATGGATGGGTGAATTTATTTGCCCAGCATGGCGCGAGATATCCGGATGATGTTCACGAGGATCATGATCATTGTGATGCGGTCACGCAGTTTGGTCAGGTCCAAAATGTCCGAGCATTCGTGCATTTTCATGTCGTCGTATATGCACTCGAACAAAACACGCGTTCCCGCCGTTGCATAGCCAAACAAATACGCTAGTCTGCCATTTTTGCCGACCACACCAGGCAGCATCTTGTCGATGAGTTCGCGAGCAATTGTGCGAACATCCCCGCGTTTCTTCTCCTCGCCCTTGAACACAAGCTGGCCATTAATTGAGCACAGATAGTCAGGGCGATTAACTTGCTTGGTCATGCTAGCCTCTGAAGCATTCCGGTCGATAGCAACATCGACTGGCAAGTGGTCGCGTGCCGTTCCAATGACACCCATTAGAAACACATCGAGGCCATGCTGCTGCATCGACTCGGTGCCGCCATTGTCTACCTTGACCAGCAACGCGCTTTCCACACGAGGCGTCAGTGTAGGGCAGATGTTGCCGGTCTCTTCGACAATACAAAAGGTTTGCTCCAATAGGCCTTCGTCGATGTTGCTGTCCCGGAGCATGTCGTAAACGAATTGGTGTATAGGTATATGCGACTCCACAGGCCGTATTAGTTCATTCTTGAGTTGGCAGTATTTGGGCACTTCCTCAAAAGGTGCAAAAAGAGTAGCACACACATCCTTCTCCTTGTATACAGCTACACGAGGTATAATCGTCGACGTAGCGGAATCGACGCTAGAGCTCAAGAGAGACTTGTGTGTAGTTGAGTCTATGGCCAAGCTCCTAGTGTCAGGACCTGCCCCAAGAGACAAAGCGGAGAGTTTGCCATTAATTTCATGAAGCAGGTCAAAGTATTCCTCTGGGCTATGTGAAAGTGCCCTCTCTGATGCACTCCCCTCTTTGGACTCCTGCGTCCCCTGTTTACTCGATATCGATACCGCTTTCTGCCCAATACGACTGCCGCTCTTACGGCGTGTCCTGTTAATTGCAACTATAGGCTTGCTCTTTGCCGTCGCCCTCGTTGTCATGGTGCTAGGCTTTGTATCAGTCATAATTGGCAAATTGTTCTAAATAATTCTGTAAAAGATACTGTAGAAATGGTATTGTGGAAAAATGAATATCATTTTGTTGCAGGTGGGCATGGGTGACTAATATATAATCGGTGCGATACTGCCGGCAATATAGCAGCCGCGCGGTGGGGTGTGCTCCTTCGAAGCGAGGGCTGCTCAGATATTCAGCGCGTTATTTGTATTCTCTATGATGGACATCACATACAGCCATGGACGACTTGGCCTGACCATTGTGACCTACAGTGAGGCTTTGGACGTGATGATCACCATGCTATGCATGTGGCCTACACGTACGTGCCAAGCCGCTTACATTTAATGTCACATTATACCTTTTGCGCAGCAAAACTTGCCCATATTTAGATAAATCACGCAGTCACTTGGACAAACCAGTATATGCAAATTGGCCACAAGAGCATACTCATGGCCATTTGATTTTATGAGTGCGGTGATGCGGTACAAAGTAAATTAATGTGCGGTGGATATGATTATGTAATTATGTAATTATGTTGAAAGGTTACCTTACTGGGTAAGAATGTTATATGCTTACTATTTGGCATTAAATTAAGGATACTTGTACCAACCACAGAAAGTAATCATACCTTATAAGGACAGCGAATTCATCTAGTCTCCTCATATGCTTCCTTTATCCAGAATTTTTCAGGTTCAGACTTCCAGCTTGAGCTATAATACCAAAACCCAACTCCACATGCAAATACAGTACTTCGTTTCAATGAGCTGATTCAAAATTCACCAGTAGGTCTGTAGGTTAGTAAGATTCTTCCTAGATTCAAGTACAAGTCTCTTTTCATTCAGAGCAAAACTATAAATATCATTTTAAAAGACTATCTTTATCTTTATCTTTATACCTATATATATGGGGCCGGGTTGCAGAATCTGAAAGGCCGCTGTGTATTCATCGATCCAGGCCGGGGCGATTTACTGTATATGATGCACGAAAATAGCAGCAATGGGAAAGAGGGTGAAAGAATGTTCTACCGCTACACACGGCAGCAGCGCAATAAGGAGCTCAAGCTGCGCCACTATGACAGGATTCGTTGGGATACAAAGGATCAAGTCCCAGAAGATGCTGTCCGCAGAGCAGAGGCAGAGCTTTCCAAGCACTGCTGCCGGACCCTTAGCCCAGCAAAATTCCGTGCCTACGTTGCTGCCCGTGCATCTGTGCGGTGTGTCCTAGCACCGTTTTATGCCAGCACGATAACAGCGTGAAGTTTACCAGAGCAGCAGCTCACTAAGTCAAACAAGCAGCACCAGAGGCGCTGGAAGGCCCATCCGGGTGTCAGTACCAGTCCCAAGGTGTACCCGCTTCACCGCAAGCTGCGCCTTGATTCATTCATGAACCAGGCCCATGCAGACCACAGGCTTGCCGCAAAACTCCGGAGCAAGTTCGGTCCAGATCCAGTGCTGATCATGGGCAATTGGAGTGCGCCGATGGCCCGACACCATGCGCCGATTCGTGGCAAGGGATGGCGCGACAAGCTCAAGCACCATGGCTTTGAAGTCTATCTGATCGACGAATTCCGGACATCGTCGATGTGCCCGTTCTGCTGCGAAAAGTCGCTGCAGACATTCCGGCATGTTCCCAACCCGCGGCCCTACCAGAGATCGAAGAACCCAACTGTGAAGTGCCATGGCCTTCTCCGCTGTACAAGCGAGTCATGTAAGCGGGCCATGGCACAATACAGACGGGCCTATTCGTCTCGACTTTTGAACCGCGACCTCGCAGCAGTTCTAAACTTCAGACTCGTTTTCCAGTCACTCTGTGATTCAGGCAGTATTCCTGAACGGTTCCGTCGTTCTACGGCCATTGCTGCCAATGCTTCTAGCACTACCCTTGCAACAAAGAACCCGCACAAGAGACGTGCAGCAGCAGTAGGCGATCAAGATAGGAGATGTCCAGGATCGCAATTGCACCAACAACCATCCGACACGTTCAAATGACTGTTTTGCTGTGATGATCTTATCGACGTGTCAACCCATGCTGACTAGCAGCCGAGCTCTCATCGCGAGCAGAGCAATTCTAGTATCATGTTTCTTTTCAGCATGTTTTGCTTTCTGCAGACATTGGTGAGCCCGCCATTATTGACTTAGGCCGTCCAATACTGGACAGTTTCGTAGCACAAATGGATGGGAAGCTATGTCAGCCATCACCTTTGACTCTGGACTTGGTATATAGCAAATAAACAGGTACTCATGGTGGCACGTACTACAAAAGTGTATCATATATATGCCATTAAGCAAATCCACAAAATTCTTCAATACAACCTCAATAGTATACTAAGGTACCACGCGCATTGAATAACAATAGTCAAGACTTGATAATCCATCGTTGGTGAGTGCAGCTGTTAACATACAACCATTACGAAAATAGCACTCTTCAATAAACTGCAAATTGCAGGTTTATAGTACAGAACAAATTGCTTTTCAACCGGGGCGTATGTGCATTGATGGTGCATATATTGGCAGCCAGTTGGTTTTGTTGTGGTGTTCTCATTATTGCAAGGTGGGATGTGTGCAGAAACCAGCTCAGGTTAATTTCGAGTGCAGCTGGCGTCCATTGTGTTGCAAGCCTGTTTTCCGCTGTGTGTTTCAGCCAGAACAAAGCAGGCTGGCATGTCCGTGTGCTCATTTCTCGGCACTTGGGCGCCATGCCTCTGCTGCTGTCATTCTCGGCACTGGCGGCGCTTTGTTCAGCGTGTTGGATAATTGCGTCAGATCCTCTGCGAGCATTCTGGAAGGCGAGCGCAGGGTTGCTCAGTGCCAGGCTGTTCTCAGTGACTGCCAGCATGTGTGGGCGGGCGTGTGAGCTTTGCCATGGATGGTGGGGTACCTGGGACTTGTGCCGGGTTGTCCCCGAGGTTGCGCTCCCGCTGCCTGTGCTTGCACCTGAAGCAGCAGCAGTCAGCGGTCAGCAGCCCCAGCCAGAGTTCATGGTACCGTTGCAGGTATTGTCTTGTTGTTTCTTCCTGTTGCAAGGCTGCTGCTGCTGCTGCTTCTGCTGCTGAAACATTGTTTCGTTGGGCAGGCCTTCTCTTCCCCAGACGCACCCAAGACCCGTCGCCCCCACCGCCTCTCTCTCCCCCAGCTAGCCAGGCGGCCAGACAGGCGGCCAGCCAGACAGGCGGCCAGTCAGATAGCCAGTCAGCCAGTCAGCCAGTCAGCCAGTCAGCCAGCCAGATTCGCCTGCAATAGTGGGTGTGGGTAGGCGCGGGACAGAGGTTGGGCCAGCCCAACAAAGCCTGCCGCGCATATATCGCTGTTGCTGCTGGCGATTACCGATCGTCCTTTGGGCACACTACCTGTCTTTCCTCATCGTTGCCGCTCCTCGTCCACGCCTGCCTCTCCCTCCCCAATGCTTGGGGGAGGTGACAGCAGCAGAGGCAGCAGAAAACCGGGTGCAGTGTTGGGCAAAACAGGGCAGGCGTCTGGGCCGCGTGCATGCAGGACGACGGTAAACACGTCAGGTGGGAGCAATTAACACACGATGCCAGTGTGCGCGATGCACCTGGTAGAAAGGGAGCAAGGCGAGGCAAACAATGGCAGCATACGGAGGACACGCTACCCACTCGGCCACCAGCATGTTCTAAAAATACAGTGGTAAGCATTTCGTGTTATTATCTACAACAGGAATCGGTTCCAACAAACTACGAGCAGGTGGAGGGGTGTGGCCCGCGCCGAAGAAAGAAGCTCCTCCGTCCGAGAGGGCGAAATTAAATAAGGAATGCAGAACTAAAAGAACAAGGAGAGCGGCAGCTGCGATAGAGAGGGTTATATGTATAGTTTTATGCTGGTGCCTTGCTCTCGGCGGGCGCGGCTTCTTGGGGAGGGCTTGGGCTCTTTTGGGCAGGGCTTTGGCTCTTTTGGGGGGGGTGCTTAGACCGTCGACAGCAGGTGCGCCGACGGCAGCGATGTCGAGCGGCCGCGAATGCCGTCGAGCAGGCTGCTGCTGGGCCCGAAGCTGCTGGGCGACTGCGCCGGGTACGCCGGTGTGTGGCACGGCAGCTTCGACGACAGGTCAAACGACGTCACCGGCTTCAGCGACGGCGACCGCGACTGCGGCGACCACATCGGCGAGCTCACCGGCGATGCACGCGGCGACGCCAGCGAGAAGTACTCGGTCGACGCGCTGGCGCTGGCGGGCACTGCCGCTCCGTCGCCGTGGCGGCACGTCTCGCTGCAGTACAGGGCGTCCTCGGCGCTGTCAATGTGCTTGCCGCAGAATACGCACCAGTTAGTGTCCATTGCTGTCTGTAGATCGCGTGTGCGTGTGTGTGCTGGGTGGGTCTCGGCGGTGTGAGAGAGAGAAGAAAGTGTGACCTTGGCTGAGCAGGCGAGCGAGCGAGCAGGCTTTGGGTGACTTTGTTCGTTTGGCCGGGCAGGCGGGATGCTTCGGAGGCGTTGGAGCAGGGGCAGCAGACCGCACAAGGGAGCTGGACTGGCAGTGGTGGTGGTTACAAAAGGGGAAATGGGAAGCGAGGGTTGCTGTGTGAAGAACAGAAAAATAACAGCGGCGACGGGTTCCGAAGCGCCAGGCTTTTATACCAAAAGTCTAATCACTCCCATCCGCCTGCGCTATGCCCCCCGGCGCCTGTTGCTGCTCGCTCTCACAAAGCGCCCTTTTGCACAGGGAAAGCTGCCATCCACACAATATCCTGGCGCGCTGGTTGGCTGGCTGCGATAAATTATGCAAGCAGGCAAGCGAAGGCGACGAGGGGTGGGCTGATGCCGAGTGTCGCCGACCCCCCCTTTTCCCACTGCCGCCGCCCAATCGCCCAATCATCGGCCAATAAGGCGACATGGCTGCTCGCGCCTGGCTGCCGATGTGAGTAATCTCGCGGGCTTGCTGTGTCAGCTAATGCTGTGCCGGCGGTTATTTTTGTCGTCCAAGCACCGGTACCCATCCTCTTCTAGACACCCCCCACTATTGCCTCATATCCTCAAAACGGCTGCGCACCGCGCTCGGTCCGCCGGTCGCGTCTGGACATCGTGACTCAGAGTCGGCAGCGCTGACCAAGCACCCCACCCCGCCATAGTACCGCAGCATTGCGCAAGCAGGTCGTGGAAGGGACTGTGCAGTCACCCGCCGACTATGTCGATTCGCAATTGTCAGGCCTATCGATGCAGTCGGAGACCGCTAGGTGGCTCTACCGCATTCTGCTGACTTTCTCCCCCCTTCCCTGTGCCCAAAATGACGAGCGAGCGGCAAGGGCTCGGTTGGGTAGGCGGGGCTATCATTTTCTTTCCCCGTGTGGAATCTTCCGATGCTCCCTCTACCCTGCGTCAGCGCTGGATATGCGGGCGGCAGCGGCGGCGGGCAGTCAGACAGCGTGAGCGTGGGTTGTGGATCGTGGGTTGTGGATCGTGGGCTGTGGATCGTGGGCTGTGGATCGTGGGCTGTAGGCGCAGGCCGTATGGGCCACGGGCACAAGAGCCGCACTCTCGGCTTTTCTTGGCAAGGAAAAGCGTCGGCCCGCACTAGCTGTGCCCGCACCCTCTGACAAGCCTGCTATCGCCCACATGTCTTGCTGCTGCTGCTACACTATCAGCAACACCAACAATGCCTGCAAGCAGACCCTTTCCTTCGGACACGAGTCCTCTTCCTCGTCAGACACTGGAGTCAGACCACACAGCTGATCGTCACAGAACCATGGCTGATTCCACCCGGGTCATGCACCCCACCCCTCTTTGCTACCGAGCGCCGCCAGCATTAGCTGCTGCTGGTAGCAGTGTGCTGGTGGTGGCGGCAGATGAGCAACGCTGAGTAAAAGCGTTCTAGGCCACCTGATAGCCACGTGGATGATCCAGCGGTGATCCCGTCCAGAGCCAGGCACTGTTTATTGCAGCGCTGCAGCTGGCATATTCAACATACAGACACAGCGCAGCTCCGCTGCAATTGCGGCTGCAACTACTGCCGCCGTGCTGCCCACAGAGCGACGCAAACACAAGGCCACGCAACGGCGCAGGTGCATAGACTCCTCTCCCCCCACTACCATCCAGTGGATAGCAATGATAACAAGCTTGCTCCCTGTCCCCTGTTTGGAAAGTCAGCTAAGAAATCTGTTGCATGAATTCCGAGGTTGAGAGGCTGCAACCCTCACGTCAGCTGGTTTTGTTTTTTATCCTATGCTGATCATAATAAACCCAGGAATGGCAAACCAGCTGATATTTTGACACCCATCTTGAGGCCACTCGTTGGCCTGCAAGCAGGAGTGCACGGTGGACATGGAAAACACAATTGCCATATGGCAGATTGCTATTCCGGGACACCGCAAATAACCGAAACTCGGTGACCATTGGTGAACTGCCTAGAGCTTCCGGTGCCTGTTGTTTCGGTCTGTTGACTATTGTCACGGGTATCGCATGTGTTTCTTGTCAAGGAGGCCAATTGATGCATATTGACAATTGCCCTGAAACTCCGTCAATGGCCAAAGGATAAGTGGACCGGAGGTATACTGCGTGTGGGCTGATATTTCCAGCTTGCAAGTTACAACCTGCGCGTCCTAAGCCACCCTGGCACTAGGGGTGTGGCTTTGGTCCGTAAAAATATTAGTTGCGATTTCAGTCGCTTGCATATATTGCATCTTGTTCATTGAGGGCATATCATCTGAGCTTATTCGTAATATGAGCGGCTTGCAACCCCACAATGCGTCGCCCATGCAGTGTGCCTATACGGAGAGCTGGCCACATAGGCGAATGGCTGCAGTAGACTAGTAATTTAATGCCAAAGTAGTAGCAGTTGTGCGGCCAATATTGTACGCTAGCAGAAAGCCAAAGTACCAGAATGTTTTAGCCCTTTCTCACACATGCTTTTACGGCTATTACTGTCACTCAGTATGAGCCAAGAATATACCCTAACCTACCGCTCTTTATATGCGCGGCCATTGTATTCTTGAGTTATAATCTTTTATGTAGGGCATATTCATTTTTAGTATAATTGCCGTAGTGCTGTGCTAAATAAAAATCTGCTCATGCCTATGGATATGCGTACATATTTTCATAAACAAGTCTGAATCGAAAATGGACAGTTAATGCTTAATAGTGGGCATGCATCGGAGATTATAAGGGTGGTTTGTGGCAAAAATTGCTATCTAATTGTCAAACCACGACCTGCTGCTATCATTCGAATGTCACCCTTGTCTATAGAGCCAATATGCGAAGATTCCACCAATGATGTATGCTGCCAATCTACACCAATGTTGCCAATTCTATGATCTGCGTCTGATTATGTCGTAATGCAGACTGATTTTCTCTGAAGCTACTAGATACACCTACCATACGATCAGTGTGGAGAGATACCCCGGACTGGAGCCCAGTAAAGTGAAGCCATTGTGGCCGCGAATCTAGACTTGAAGCTAGTAATTGTAATGAAGCGGGAATCTGCCACAGCATAGAATTCAGTGTGGAGTGTGGAGTGAGGAGAGTGGGGTATCCGGCATGAACAACTGCAAGGTGTACAGGGATATCAATGGTTATCCCCAGGTCATAGTGAGGCAGCATTTGGAGGTGTTGTTTTGACTAATTGTTTCTGGGGTATTCGCACCCCACAAAGCTCTCCGCACGACGCGGTTTGCTCACAGTGACGGAATTCTGTGAATGTAATATAGGGCGCTCACACCATTGGACAAAAGTGTCCGCAGATTGCAGCCGAGAGCCCAGTATTTATTGCAGTGCTCCATGTTGACAGAACAGCGCCGAAACCCGGGTGTTACCATGGGCCGGTATCATCAGCGAAACAACTACACCATGTTGCAAATGCAGATAGCCATGTACAACCAGCAATGAAATGTGTGTTTGTATAACACTAGATCGTTGTATGTTGTCCATACATGACATTAAAAGACAGCTCTAATAACTTAAAACCAGCAGTATTGCTTAAACGACAAAAGCAATGGTGCTGATTGCCAGGAAGGCACTCAGGGCAACTGACATGATCACGTCGGCTGATCCAGCGCTGGGGATGAAGGCAGACTGGTCTACGCCCGAGTACACATTGGTTTCCGAAGTTGCTGCATCCTTGTCAACGCAGACAACATTGTCGTCCTTGATGCGGCAAACGTTACCCGAAGTGCAAGTCATGTTCTGCCACAGCTTGTCGATGCACATCTGGTACATGCCTGGCTTGCCATCGATACACTGTGTTGCCTTGTCCTTCTTGCACGGCTGGTCGGGGACATCTACAAGGGGTACGCTTGGGTCGTGGCATACAGCCTTACCCTGCTTCATCCCGCAGACGTTGCCCGAGTCACAAGTCGAGTTGGTCCAGTAGTCGCTGATGCAGATCTGGAAGATCGAGTCGTCGTCGACACAGCGCGTAGCATTGGCAGTGGTGCATGGCTGAACGGGGGCTTCAGCAGTGGCCTTATCGACGCAAGTGGTCTTTCCATTGCGGAACAGGCAGTACGTGTCCTTGGCGCAGGTAGAGTTTGTCCAGTAGTGGTCGATGCACACCTGGTACATATTCTTCTGCCCATCGTAGCACTGGGTTGCGTTCTCGGTACGGCACGGCACCTGGACTGCCTCGGATGCTGCCTTGTCAACACAAGTGGCCTTGTCGTTCTTAAACAGACAGTAGTTGTTGTCGCTGCAAGTCGAGTTTTGCCAGTACCCGTCAGTGCACACCTGGAAAACCTTCTTGTTATCGGCTGCGCAGCGAGTCGCCTTGTCAGTCTTGCAGTAGTCGACAGGGGCATCGGCCGTGGCCTGGTCCATGCACTGGACCTTGCTGTTGCGGATCGCGCACACATTGCCCTTGTCGCAGGCCATGTTCATCCACTTGTTGTCCACACACTTGAAGAACTTGGACTTGTTGGTGCTGTCGCACATGGTAGCGTTGACAGTGTCGCAAGGCTCCAGCTTCTGCGGTTGCTCCGGCTTCTCAAGTGGCTTGTTAGGGTCGTGGCACACAACAGCGTTTTCCGAAGACTGGCCGCAAATGGTGTCTCCGTCGCATGTCAGCAGCTGCCATCCCTTGTCCGTGCATGTGTAGTACTTGTTCTTGCCATCAGAAGCACACTTGCCGTCGCCGACATTATCGCAAGGCTCCAGCTTCTGCGGTTGCTCCGGCTTCTCAAGTGGCTTGTTAGGGTCGTGGCACACAACAGCGTTTTCCGAAGACTGGCCACAAATGGTGTCTCCATCGCACGTCAGCAGCTGCCATCCCTTGTCCGTGCATGTGTAGTACTTGTCCTTGCCGTCAGAAGCACACTTGCCGTCGCCGACATTATCGCAAGGCTCCAGCTTCTGCGGCTGCTCCGGCTTCTCAAGTGGCTTGTTAGGGTCGTGGCACACAACAGCATTTTCCGAAGACTGGCCGCAAATGGTGTCTCCATCGCATGTCAGCAGCTGCCATCCCTTGTCCGTGCATGTGTAGTACTTGTCCTTGCCGTCAGAAGCACACTTGCCGTCGCCGACATTATCGCAAGGCTCCAGCTTCTGCGGCTGCTCCGGCTTTTCGATCGGCTTACTGGGGTCGTGGCATACCGCCCTGTTGTCACTCGACTGTCCGCAAACATCGTTGTTGCTGCAAGTCATCAGTGCCCATTTGCCGTCGGTGCAGGACCAGAACTTGTTATCGGCGTCTGAGGCACACAGTGATTCACCGTTGTTCGAACAGTGCTTCGAGAAGTCGGGTGATTCGGGCTGAGCGGCTGGCTCGGGCTGAGCGGCTGACTCGGGCTGAACAGCTGACTCAGGGGTCGTCGCACTGGTCGGGGCGGCTGATTCGGGGGAGGCGCTGGTCTGAGCGGACGCCACGGGGGCTGCTGAAGCAGCATCAGCAGCAGGGGCGGAATCTATGGCATGGTAGGATTTACGTGGAGTGGGTGTGTGTGAGATGAGTGGTGATGCATGTGTGTGAGGTAAAGATGTGTATAATACAGATGCCGCTGCACCATGTGAACTGGAATGTGGCTGGAGCTGCTTTAAGGGGGTCAGAGTATGGTAGTGGTGAAATATACCTGGAAGGGAGAGTATGGCGCCAGCACTAGGTGCTTCGAGATCGACTGCAGGCTTCGCGCTGCCAGTGTCAACGGCTCCGGGGTTACCTATCGTAATAATAGTTACTCGTATTGTTTAGCGATCTGCAATAAAATGACCATGCATACCAGGTGATTCAGGATATCAAGCGATATCCTCTGCCGCCAAACTATGAAGTTGCAATAAACGTACCCTCGTTGTTGCTAGACTGTGCAGCAGTCGCCGCAAGGAAAAGCAGAGAAGCGTATATCGCCTTCATTGTAGTTTCAAATGTAAAGCGAAAGAACTTTTTTTACAAATGGAAAGAAGTGAAGAGAAGCGAAGGAGGAGGAGCGAAAAAGTCGAAAAGTTGCTGTTTTGTACTCTACAACCTCCTATTATATTGGAATTTTGTGCTCAGGCGGACAGATTTGGCTCAATTGGCTCCTTTCAATGCTCTCAATGGCTTGGTCCAGATGGCACAAAAAAAGGTCTGGTTTCTTTCTCACAGTTCGCCGTCAGGAGATTGTTACCCAAACCCGCCGTTTTGAGCAGGCACTTGGCAATTTCGAGTGGTATTCGTACACCCGGCGGTCCAATCGACAGTGTTCCAATGTTACACCTTGTAGTGCGAACTTTTCCTTTATTTTTAGATGAGAAATGTCAGGGAAGTGTTTGGGGGAGGCGAGGCGAGGCGCAAAAATAAGCAAGGGGCGCTCTTGGCCTGCCTTCCGGGAAGAAATAGGCCAAAGCCATATGTTGCCACTAGTCGCAATTCAATTACGGAGATATGCGGCAAAACAAAAATACTAGACACTGTTTGGACCACATCTGTGGCCCTGGAAATGTCTTGGCAATGCTGGTTTTCCACATCACACCAAAAAGCTGGGGGGCAAGTAGGGAGGGAGGGCAGTTGATGAGAACAAGGGTGAGGAGTTGGGCAGAGCTAACCCATTGCTACTGCGCGCATTGCGTCATTACGAGGAGTATGCGTGAGTGGGAAGTCGTGGTGGCGAGAGTTGGCTTGACTTGGGTGGAAAACAAAGGTAAACAAAAAAATTCACAAGGTATAGGACACACAAAGACATAGCGAATGCGAATTAGAACGCATTCAAACATTGTGTGCTCAAACTAGCCACACGTTGGCTTTATTCTTGCCAACAGGTAAAAAGCAGCAGGTTTCTGCAGCTGGCGTATTATCTCCCACCGAGCGCTAAGGGACTGAAAATAGATATCTGCAGCCGCGGTATTAGTTGCAGATGTTTTGCCTCGGAATTCATGCAACAGATTTCTTAGCTGACTTTCCAAACAGGGGACAGGGAGCAAGCTTGTTATCATTGCTATCCACTGGATGGTAGTGGGGGGAGAGGAGTCTATGCACCTGCGCCGTTGCGTGGCCTTGTGTTTGCGTCGCTCTGTGGGCAGCACGGCGGCAGTAGTTGCAGCCGCAATTGCAGCGGAGCTGCGCTGTGTCTGTATGTTGAATATGCCAGCTGCAGCGCTGCAATAAACAGTGCCTGGCTCTGGACGGGATCACCGCTGGATCATCCACGTGGCTATCAGGTGGCCTAGAACGCTTTTACTCAGCGTTGCTCATCTGCCGCCACCACCAGCACACTGCTACCAGCAGCAGCTAATGCTGGCGGCGCTCGGTAGCAAAGAGGGGTGGGGTGCATGACCCGGGTGGAATCAGCCATGGTTCTGTGACGATCAGCTGTGTGGTCTGACTCCAGTGTCTGACGAGGAAGAGGACTCGTGTCCGAAGGAAAGGGTCTGCTTGCAGGCATTGTTGGTGTTGCTGATAGTGTAGCAGCAGCAGCAAGACATGTGGGCGATAGCAGGCTTGTCAGAGGGTGCGGGCACAGCTAGTGCGGGCCGACGCTTTTCCTTGCCAAGAAAAGCCGAGAGTGCGGCTCTTGTGCCCGTGGCCCATACGGCCTGCGCCTACAGCCCACGATCCACAGCCCACGATCCACAGCCCACGATCCACAACCCACGATCCACAACCCACGCTCACGCTGTCTGACTGCCCGCCGCCGCTGCCGCCCGCATATCCAGCGCTGACGCAGGGTAGAGGGAGCATCGGAAGATTCCACACGGGGAAAGAAAATGATAGCCCCGCCTACCCAACCGAGCCCTTGCCGCTCGCTCGTCATTTTGGGCACAGGGAAGGGGGGAGAAAGTCAGCAGAATGCGGTAGAGCCACCTAGCGGTCTCCGACTGCATCGATAGGCCTGACAATTGCGAATCGACATAGTCGGCGGGTGACTGCACAGTCCCTTCCACGACCTGCTTGCGCAATGCTGCGGTACTATGGCGGGGTGGGGTGCTTGGTCAGCGCTGCCGACTCTGAGTCACGATGTCCAGACGCGACCGGCGGACCGAGCGCGGTGCGCAGCCGTTTTGAGGATATGAGGCAATAGTGGGGGGTGTCTAGAAGAGGATGGGTACCGGTGCTTGGACGACAAAAATAACCGCCGGCACAGCATTAGCTGACACAGCAAGCCCGCGAGATTACTCACATCGGCAGCCAGGCGCGAGCAGCCATGTCGCCTTATTGGCCGATGATTGGGCGATTGGGCGGCGGCAGTGGGAAAAGGGGGGGTCGGCGACACTCGGCATCAGCCCACCCCTCGTCGCCTTCGCTTGCCTGCTTGCATAATTTATCGCAGCCAGCCAACCAGCGCGCCAGGATATTGTGTGGATGGCAGCTTTCCCTGTGCAAAAGGGCGCTTTGTGAGAGCGAGCAGCAACAGGCGCCGGGGGCATAGCGCAGGCGGATGGGAGTGATTAGACTTTTGGTATAAAAGCCTGGCGCTTCGGAACCCGTCGCCGCTGTTATTTTTCTGTTCTTCACACAGCAACCCTCGCTTCCCATTTCCCCTTTTGTAACCACCACCACTGCCAGTCCAGCTCCCTTGTGCGGTCTGCTGCCCCTGCTCCAACGCCTCCGAAGCATCCCGCCTGCCCGGCCAACGAACAAAGTCACCCAAAGCCTGCTCGCTCGCTCGCCTGCTCAGCCAAGGTCACACTTTCTTCTCTCTCTCACACCGCCGAGACCCACCCAGCACACACACGCACACGCGATCTACAGACAGCAATGGACACTAACTGGTGCGTATTCTGCGGCAAGCACATTGACAGCGCCGAGGACGCCCTGTACTGCAGCGAGACGTGCCGCCACGGCGACGGAGCGGCAGTGCCCGCCAGCGCCAGCGCGTCGACCGAGTACTTCTCGCTGGCGTCGCCGCGTGCATCGCCGGTGAGCTCGCCGATGTGGTCGCCGCAGTCGCGGTCGCCGTCGCTGAAGCCGGTGACGTCGTTTGACCTGTCGTCGAAGCTGCCGTGCCACACACCGGCGTACCCGGCGCAGTCGCCCAGCAGCTTCGGGCCCAGCAGCAGCCTGCTCGACGGCATTCGCGGCCGCTCGACATCGCTGCCGTCGGCGCACCTGCTGTCGACGGTCTAAGCACCCCCCCCCAAAAGAGCCAAAGCCCTGCCCAAAAGAGCCCAAGCCCTCCCCAAGAAGCCGCGCCCGCCGAGAGCAAGGCACCAGCATAAAACTATACATATAACCCTCTCTATCGCAGCTGCCGCTCTCCTTGTTCTTTTAGTTCTGCATTCCTTATTTAATTTCGCCCTCTCGGACGGAGGAGCTTCTTTCTTCGGCGCGGGCCACACCCCTCCACCTGCTCGTAGTTTGTTGGAACCGATTCCTGTTGTAGATAATAACACGAAATGCTTACCACTGTATTTTTAGAACATGCTGGTGGCCGAGTGGGTAGCGTGTCCTCCGTATGCTGCCATTGTTTGCCTCGCCTTGCTCCCTTTCTACCAGGTGCATCGCGCACACTGGCATCGTGTGTTAATTGCTCCCACCTGACGTGTTTACCGTCGTCCTGCATGCACGCGGCCCAGACGCCTGCCCTGTTTTGCCCAACACTGCACCCGGTTTTCTGCTGCCTCTGCTGCTGTCACCTCCCCCAAGCATTGGGGAGGGAGAGGCAGGCGTGGACGAGGAGCGGCAACGATGAGGAAAGACAGGTAGTGTGCCCAAAGGACGATCGGTAATCGCCAGCAGCAACAGCGATATATGCGCGGCAGGCTTTGTTGGGCTGGCCCAACCTCTGTCCCGCGCCTACCCACACCCACTATTGCAGGCGAATCTGGCTGGCTGACTGGCTGACTGGCTGACTGGCTGACTGGCTATCTGACTGGCCGCCTGTCTGGCTGGCCGCCTGTCTGGCCGCCTGGCTAGCTGGGGGAGAGAGAGGCGGTGGGGGCGACGGGTCTTGGGTGCGTCTGGGGAAGAGAAGGCCTGCCCAACGAAACAATGTTTCAGCAGCAGAAGCAGCAGCAGCAGCAGCCTTGCAACAGGAAGAAACAACAAGACAATACCTGCAACGGTACCATGAACTCTGGCTGGGGCTGCTGACCGCTGACTGCTGCTGCTTCAGGTGCAAGCACAGGCAGCGGGAGCGCAACCTCGGGGGACAACCCGGCACAAGTCCCAGGTACCCCACCATCCATGGCAAAGCTCACACGCCCGCCCACACATGCTGGCAGTCACTGAGAACAGCCTGGCACTGAGCAACCCTGCGCTCGCCTTCCAGAATGCTCGCAGAGGATCTGACGCAATTATCCAACACGCTGAACAAAGCGCCGCCAGTGCCGAGAATGACAGCAGCAGAGGCATGGCGCCCAAGTGCCGAGAAATGAGCACACGGACATGCCAGCCTGCTTTGTTCTGGCTGAAACACACAGCGGAAAACAGGCTTGCAACACAATGGACGCCAGCTGCACTCGAAATTAACCTGAGCTGGTTTCTGCACACATCCCACCTTGCAATAATGAGAACACCACAACAAAACCAACTGGCTGCCAATATATGCACCATCAATGCACATACGCCCCAGTTGATCACAATATGATCGACTGTATTAGATTACTAGATCATGATCTGCCTCTGCTTAACCGTTTCCACTTGGGCACGCTGCTGCCCGCTTTTCTCAAACTGGCGGCCCGGGTGCACTATGGTCGCCCTCTCTTCTGTCAAATTCTCAACATCAGGTATGTCGAATTAAACGAGTCGCGGATTGTGGATGCGCTGTGGCAGGCGATTATTTGGTGATGGATGCGGCGTGTTATGCGTAAAATCGGATGGGCAGATACTGTGGCGAATTGGCAATTGAGGGAATTTGCGAAGGCGAATTTGCGCA